TAACTTTCAACTAAAAAAATTTTGACGCAAACTTTTTAAACAGTCTGCAAGAGAGTGTTGCACTAACTACGAAAATAAATTTTTTTATCTGCAGTCAATGTCGAAAAGTTCAGGGCCATGAAAATTGAAATTTTGACTAATTCGAAAATATTTCGTTCTATTGAGGTGTCAGCGGCAAAATAATAGAGATGAGACACCATTCCAAACTGGATTGAGGCGAACTATTTGATGTAACTTATACGTTAAGACATGCAAAAGACATCACTTTAGTTTTGACATAGCAAGCTGGCAATTTTTTCTTGAATTCAATAACGTTTTCAGAGCGTTCGTAAGCGTTTTTTTGTAGCGAAAGTGGAACATAACATATCCTGATTCAGTACTGGAGCAAAATGTAGCGAAATTCAAAGAAAATGAGAAATAGATATCTGTGGGGTGGTTTTCTGAAAAATACCATCTTTTAAAAATAAATTTTTTAGTGGTAGAACCTGAAATCTACCTTTCTCTACTATTATTTCAAAAACTTTATCTATGACGCTCAAATTTTTAGACGAAATATTATACTGCACACAAATTTCCCAATTCAATTTCTCAACTCAGGCAATCTAGTGGTCAAATAAGACATATTAATAATACAATTAGAAATTCGAGTTAAAATTCGAAATTAACCATCATTATTAATAATTCACAAAAATTTACCAAAAGTTGTAAGAGCCCGATTAAAGGGCAGTAGATTCAGGGCTTCACCATGATACACGAGCAGTATTCTTGAAAATATTAATGAAGCAAAACTAACTTTCTTTGGGAGACCGTTCTGGATAAAACAGTCAAAAAATAGTTTTCTTACCAGTTTTCTCTAGTTTTCTTACCACGAAGGTAATTCTGAAATATTATAATACATTTTATATCAGAGCCCATCATTAAAAGATTGTACAGCTTAATGCTTTTGCGATAGAATAACAGAAAAACAAAAAAATTTTATTTAATTTTTGATACATTTTACACTATGATTGAATATACAACTCGAAAAAACGGGATTTGTGAATACTTTGAAAAATTTGGTCCAGATTTTTTTGAGCTTCCAATTCCAGCAGCTGCTAGACTGCCTTATGTATCATGAGAAATATAAACACGAACTAAATTCATTTTCATCAGCCCAAAAATAAAGTATAGAAACCCCAAACTCAATTTTGAGAAACTTGATAACATGATAAGAAACGGACTTTTTGGACGGAATAATTCCTGAAACAGTCAGTTTCTCCGATTCCACTGAGAAAAAATTTCCTTTTCTAATTTTTTCATGAACTTCAGGCAATAAAATTTATTGTGTTAAGGTTTTTTTGATCATCTTTAACACTTTCAACTTCATTTAAATAGGTCCATAAATTGAATTGCAGACCGCATGGTACCTTGAATTTACAGCAGCTCTCATTGTTCAATGTTGAGAATGGCGAATTAGATTTAATCAAAAACTCGCTTTTAAAATTGGACAAATTGGATGAAAACTCGTTTGATCACACCGAAAGGGGAACAAAAGAGCGGAACAAGCTTGTTAACATGGACAATGAAGCCTAATGAGTTTTGCGTACTTCAAAAAACGCCCGTCCCGAAGAGCTTCTAATTAACGCCTCAACCTAAGCAAAAGAGGGTTGAAAAATGATCACTCCAAAACTGAAAATGCAGCGGAAAATTTTAAAAAAATTTTACGGTTGAAGAGAAAAGAAGCGAAATACGTAATGAAAAGCGTTTTTAGATAAATTTATGCTAATTTGAAACAAAAAGATATTTCATCAAAGTCAGTTAGAACCTTAATCATGCTTTTATTGCTTTGAAAAGAAAAAATGTACAACAATCCCATCTCCTAAGGGCAGACAAATCTTAATGAGTGACATAGTACTTTGTTTGAAAGACATTTATTAGAGAATCAGATTGCTAAGAAGTTGGGCTTGGGTGCTTTAAAAAATATTCATCATCAACTGAGTAAACTCTCAAATATGCCATCTGATCGAAAAATGATAAGCTAGAAAGCTATCTGTTTTCCTGTAATTTGTTCATAAAGAGTATCAACAACGTAATTCTTTCTTTCGTTTTTTTCAAAGCTACCACTTTTAAACCAAAAAAGATTTCACTTTTTAAATTTTTTGAGATCTTTTTGAGAACTTTTGAGATTTCCTGAGGTTTCTCTGATATTTATTTGGTTGCATATTCTTGAAAACTAATTTGTTTATTATAAAAACAAGACTGCTCGTATATCAGGGTAAAGCCCTGAATCTTTCGACTGTACCTTAATTCATATCGAGTAGTTTTTGAGAAAAAAAGAAGTGAAAATCTTTAAATTTTGGACATTATCAAAACGTGAAATTTTGATTCGTACAAAATTAATACGACGAATTAGCTAGCCTCAATTCAATTTGGAACGATTTTGTTGTACGGGATAATTCGCCATGCATAAATAATTCGCTTTAAGCTCTCAGCATTATGAATAAACTCTTCGAAGCGCGCATTATTTAGTCAGTCCAGAAAATGACCAATTTGGTCATTTTCAAACCAACAAAACTGTACAAAAAAATTAATTGGAATTAAAATATCTTTTTAAATTTGAACTCAGGAAGTCAATATCTTCAATGGGGTATAATTTTTTTTGAAAGCTATTATTTCGATCGGCGAAAATTGACCGAATAAAAAAACCACACCGAGCATGAGCATTCCGTTGTCTTCGAAAGTCGATAAAAACAAACTCACTAGATTTTCAGGGAAATTTGAGAAAAAATTATAGAACTTATCTCTTTAGAGGATGAAAAACACTTTTGTCAAATTTTTCTGATCGGTCTTGGCAAATTAAGCTTATGTATCCAGATCTCTCTCTGTTTTAACTTCAACTGCTCCAATCGCCAAAGAAATTAAAGATCATTATCGAAGTAAGCCATGGGTTTTTCCACAACTGATTTGAAAAATTGCCGTCTTGTCTTAGACGCAATAAAAATGAAAAATCGAATCATCTACCACATTTCGATGTTTATCTTAGAAATTGATAATGCTCAGCAAATGATAAGTTTAATCTTGATGATTTCAATGAATAAATAAAGTAATGGTTATAGAACTTGCCATATATACAGTTTTTAAAAATAGCAAGATTCGTGTATTAGAAGGAAATTTTGAATGTCTGGATTGCCATTTGACGTGCTTGACTTAGAAGTTATTGAAAACAAAATTAAATTCAAAACAAATTTTGATTTTTCAAAATTTCAATTTGAAAATGTTCCCCATACGCATATTGAAGCACAAATTGATGTATAGGTCTAATAATGCAATATATGGATCAATTAGCCAGCCTCATTTCAATTTGGCATATTTTTCAAGCCAATTTTGTTCACCGTTTTCACTATAAAAAGTAAAAGCACTTAAAAAAAATAATTTTTGGTCGACTAATTATCGCAAAATGGCACCCTATAGACACTTATGTTCTTAGGACAAAATATCACGGGTTAGATATACTTTTGAGCTGAAGTCATCAAATTGTCTGACAGGATAAAAAATTTAGTTGATGAAATTGCTACAGAATTAATATTCGTCCGGAAAAAAAACACCCTCGTTTCAAAATTAGTAGCTCAAACGCGTCAGATTATAGAACGAGCAGTTTAACTAGACACGTGGAAGTTGAATAAATTGATTTGCGAACTCGTCCGCGGGCAGCATGAAGATCCAGGAATCAAAACACTGAGTAAAAAATTCTTCTGAAACTTAATCTAAATACCCCCTCCATTGGGCATATATTTTTCTCACTTTGTTGAAAGTCGGAACAATATAGCAGATTAAACGAGGTATTCTAAATTTCTTTAAATTATCGCCGTAATTACGAGCGACAAGAGAGCCATACTCAGTTGATAATTGCTTTGTTATAAAATGGCCTGACAAAACAAAAGTTTTTGAAATTTTTGAAATTTTTTTTGAACTAAATTACAACTGGAAAAATGTATTAGGATATTTCGCTCGACGCAATTTGACCGCAGTGAGCGGTACTTGCGCTCTGTGGTTAGTTTTAACCCGAAAAATACTAAACCTCGGGAAAAAATACTAAACCTCGCTATAAAACATAACAAGACTGCTCGTATTATGGCTAATTTCTGAATGTTCCTACTCTTTTTTAACATTTATGGAGTAGTGCTCAATTTAAAAACATCAAATCTTAAAAAAAATTTTAAAAAGAAGAAAAAATTTCACTAACATTTTTCGAGTTGTTTTTTTTTATATATAAAATCACGCTAACTAAATACTACTTCTAGCGAAGTACTTATATACTACATGTAGCTAAGTATTAAATAGATCAAAAAAGATACCTCAATTCAAAAAGGATTTCTAGGCCAATTTCTAGTAAATTGGCCAATTTTGAGGATTTCGAGTAAATTGACGAAATATTCCAAAAAAAAAGAAAAAATTTTTTGGTTGACGTTTTTTTTTTTAAAAAAAAAGGTTATCCCTCCACACGCTAATGAAAACTACAAATTGATGCATAGCGTCTTCTATTCTAATAATATGACTAAATGTTTTGCTTCAATTCAAATCGGAACGCATTAATTACGGTGTTATAAGAACGCAATATATTGCGCGTTAATTATCCCAAATTGGCCAAACTAGCAGTTTTCAAATTCCCATAACATAAATCCAAGTGAAATATCTTTTTAAATTTGAGCTCAGGAAAACATTATTTTTTCAGATGATGTAAAAAATCCGTCCGGTCAAAAATGCTTAGTTAAAAAGTCAAGAACAGACTGAATCAATAAAACCACCCCAAGCATAAACATTCTGCACTTTCTTCGAAAGTCGGAACAAAAATATTTCATCTTGGGAAAACATTTTCACCAATGTTTTGTGAAAATGAATGTAATAGAATATACTTCAAAACTTGAAGAAAAAAAACCAATCCGATTAACCAGAAGATTAACTGAGCTGAATAAAAATTTATTGAGTCTTGAAATAATTTTTTTTTGAAAAAGTAAACTAACCTGTCCTTGCTGATTTCGTGGTCTTTTGTGTTGGATGTTCGTACCCCTCCGATATTCATAGAAATAAGAGAAATAATGGCAAGTATTTGGAATTGAGAAGACATTGTAAAATAAGTACAATGGTCAGTGGTGTGGTAATGTCAATCAGTTTAATTAAGGGCAGTAACAGATCCCCGAACTCAAGTAGACATGTTTGCTACGGGTATCGTTTGCCTTCTTTTGTGATTTCGGAGTCCAGATAACTAAAGCATTCAGAAAAAGTTTTATCGATTTTTGTTATCAGAACTTTTATTTATATTCTTTTTCCATTTCGGGTTAAGAATCTTTTTTTTTAATTTCAAAGATATAGAAAATTGCCGATTTTCAGCTGGTTTGTTCTAACTATTTTTCAGTGTAGACCAAAAACTGCTTTTTAAAATGTGTTTTCAATCAATGGGAATTGTTTGCTAAAGGAAATTCACAAAATTGATTAAACGAGGCGGTCTACAGCGAATAAGGAGTCTAGCGACCCGTATGATACATTTTGCCTAAGGTACTTTAAAGGGTTGGTATTAAACTCAATTGCAAAACTGACCAAATGGAAAAGAAGCTGAAGTGCTTTTATTTGAAAAATAAGCCTATTCGAATATTGACTAATCAATGAACTATTATTGCTCAGAATTATTCAATCTAAAAGTTAACGTCAGCTTTTTTTGGTTGGAACGACGGAAGATTTACCCTCTCATTTTGGATCGATTTTGGGTAAAATAAAGAGGATATATGTGTGATAATAAATTGAAAATTTAACCGCCAAATGGAAATGCAAAAGACAGTTGAAGTAAGCTTGGGGAAAAGGTGAAGAAAAAATTACCCCCGGGAAAATCGAATTGAAGTCAAGATAGTTCCTTCCTTTTATCAGGGTTGCATTTCTATCTTTATATAGTTAGCATACCATATTATCAACTCGCCAATCACGAGGCAAAATGAATCTCAACTCTCTGGTGCATGCAATAACTTTTTAAACCCAATTTTTGAACCCATTTCGATTAAGAAAACTTACCATGACTTAATACAGATTAGATTCCGCCGCTGGTAAAATTTCACGCTGATCAAAATTTCACGCCACAAAAAGCTTTCAAGGGAAGGTCTGAAAATCAAAACCAGAGCGTTATTAATGGAATAGACAAAGGAATCTTTGAACCAAAAGCACGAAATTTCCCCTTCTGATAATCCCAGTTAGACGATAATGAACTAAGTGAGGGAGATTCAAAAAATACAACTATTTTTTCTCTGTTTTACCAAGCCCGGGGATGATAAAAACGAGTTGCAGGAAACCACGTGAAGTAGATTATGTCTCACGGAGGAAAATTAGAAAAAAAAACATGACAAAAATTATCAGATTGAGCGACGACGCGCAAACCCATTATCTTAAGTGCTAATTTTAGAAATATTAATTGCCTGAAGTTCAAAAACCAACCAAATGTTCGTCACATGTTTAAGCGTTGCGTTATGATAACACACTTGAGAGTTGTTGCACACGGTTTAGTGAGCAGTTACTACGAGTTATCTTGGTGTTATAACCAGTGCTGATAAATTATAACTTAGCAGCAGTCAGGATGGCCATCAGTCTTACCTGTTTGAAGCCAAAAAGACGCTTCAACTCGAAAAAGTGACAGCTCCTTGTCGCATTAGCCCCACTACTACTAAAAGTATTGTAGGATGGAATTGCATTAAGGAGTCAACGTTTTATAAGGCAAAGAGTGACAGATAGAATTAGGCTTTACTTAGAATGTGAAGCCAACCAGCCGTGAAAAAATAGCCAAAAACCGGACAATTAATTTCTGCTTGGAAAAAGATAGCGTACTCCTTTGAATAAACCTGAAAATTTCAAGCAGACATTTAAATTTTTAAAACATCATTTGGTTTTGGTATTTTGGGTTTTTTCGGTTATAACCCCCTAAATTATGAAAAAATGAAATGAAATTTTTTATTATATCATTGTGACACTGTTACTAGGAAATGCACAATATTATTATGAGGCTGGTAAAAACGAACCATTTTTTCTTAATTGAGCCTCAAACTGAAACTGACTTTTTATCCAATTTTTGCCATTTTTCTGAGCATAAACTTCATTAAAAGGACTCTAAATGCGTTTTTAATTGTCGTTAAGTTCGCTTTTTTTTGCCAGTTTTTAGCTCGGTTTAACGCTCGGGATGTCAGCTCTGCATTTTTAGGGAAAAACAGTCAAACTTTGTAAGAAAAATTTTCATTTTTGTTTCTTATCATTTAGGGGGGTATTACCGAAAAGACGCGGTATTTTTAAGACTTTCCGGAAAAAACAACTGGATCTTATCAACTAGTAGCATACCTATTTTTCGCAATAATAATTATAAACATTAAAACCAAACTGTTGTTTACGATAACTGATGAAAGGTTTCCCTGCTACAATCTTCGGCTAATTTTATGCCAATCAATCACTTGACAATTTGGAAATAACCAACAGCCTCAAAGTTGAAATATAATCTCAACTATGCAAAGATGAAAGTGACATGTATTCAGTATAACTTTATCAGCCAGACATCAGACACTCCTAAGTCACGTTAGGGGAGCCCAGTCGTCTTCAGGGTGAATGAAAAAAGAGATAAGAAACTTTAATGACCTTCAGCATCACTAATGATACTTGGTTCAAAGTTGAATTCGGTACTCTGTAAAGTCCGGATCGATTTATCATCCTTTTCATTAAATGCACCAAGTTAAATCTTCTGTCAGTGTAAAACATAAGATTATAACTTTCTGAAAAATATAACCTAATTTTTTCTGAAACATCCAAATTTTGGCACATTTTATGGATACTTTTACTGGCTAAAAATTGCTCATTGAATGATTGATTATTGAATTTCCGAATATTCCGTTTTCTCGGCCCTCTCATCGCTAACTTTCCGGCAACTGAAAAATCCAGAATTTTCCTAATTTCACGCATTTTAGGCGATCTCATTTATAACGTTCTGCATCATGAGAATCTTCTCAACCATCTAGTATATTTCAATTTTCAGCCTTGCCATCTTAAAAACATGTTTCTGGCTTATAAAAGATACGCTTAAACAAAAAAGCGCAATTTTGATTATCTCTTGGATAATAGGATAATAATCAATAATCTCCGCTTCGAAATTATCAATTGATTGTTAGTTTGATTGAAACAACAGAACATTGAAAGTTTTCGTTAATTATGTTTGAAACTTGTATGATAACCTTTTTTTTCATACCTAAAAATTTTATGGCAAACAGTGTTTAAGCGAAAAGTTTATTTGAATAGCAGTTTTACGTTCTGAAAAACCAAAAAATGAGCTGTTTGAAAGTCTTTTTCCCAAAAACAGACGTCTAACATGAAAATACAGGTTAAAAATAAACTGCTTTCGATGATCAGTGGCTGAAAAAAATAGAAAGCCTTTTGACAGTCTTAGATTTATCTTTTCTTAAAAAAATTCTGGCTGCACAAAAGCACATAAAAACTTCATTGTAGTGCTTTGTCACACACTCAAGGTATGAAACTGTACGATAAAATGTTTTTCTTCTAGTCAAGTCAATCAAGACGGTTTATAGGAACGAGGAGGAATAGTTTTGAAGAGAAATTTAACAAAAATCTCATTCAACTTTTTTTGAATGAATTGGAAGTACAGAAAATTAAGAATGGGACGACAAAAAATGTAAGTCTTGAAAAAAATTTAATAAGTCGGGTAAAAAACAATCTTTGATTTAATAGGAACTAGAAAAAAAATTTTGGTGAAATTTCACGGAAACTATAGAGAAACTTCCATATAAAATTGGTTTTTATCTCTGTATGATCAAATCTTCAGTGCGATAAAAAAGAAAGATGAGAAATGTAATGACATTGATCAAAATTAAGGTTACTGGCTCAAATTTGATCTTGGTACACTGTATCATACTCCTTGTTAAATCACGCTAAGATGTTCCACCACTGTAAGCTTTTCCATTCTCATTCATTGAAATTTCTATAATAAAATTTCCGGAACATCCACTTTTTGCCGATTTTATAGATAATTTTTTGGGTTAAAATTGATACCATTTATTACGTGTCCGAAAACTCCATGTTTCTCATTGGCAATTTCCCGATAATTTATGCAACCTCATGGATAAAGTTCTGCATTTCAAAAATTCTCAAGCAACGCCAAGGAATGATCTGATCGTTTTCTTTTTCCATCCTTTTTATCTATTTTAAAAGCATGCTTCCGGTTTGAAAACCACACGCTTAAAAAACCAAAAAAAAACACAGTTAGTATTGTTTCTAGATTAAAGTTCCTGAGTTAGGACTGGTGTGTAACTCATAGAGTAATTTCGGATAGGGTACACCGTCTGCTCGTCACGCTATCTTATTTTCGGCCGGATAGATTCGTGCAACTTCTTAGTCTAATACCGATCCTAATCTTACTCTTATACTATCTAGTCTCAGGTTGTTTAACTAGTCTCTGCTAGGCTCAATAGATCTAGGGTATACTGGTTTATTGCGGCTGCTGAAGTGCTCGGGAGAGTCCAACTAATTTCTAAGTTAAATTCAAATCTCTCTGGTGCTGAAATTACAAGTAACTTCAGCACTTACAAATAAGTGGGTTGTTAGTTAGATGGATCATGATTGGTTAATATTAAATACTTTACATTGGTAAAACATTTAATTTATCCAATCATAAAATATAGTTTAGATCAGGTTCCACCCATCCGGGTTTTACAGAGTTTTTTAGAACAGTTCTTTTGTAGTTCAAGGATGGATGATGGACGTTGGTATTTGGCGAACATCATTTTTCTTTTGTTTCCTTTTTGTTAAGGAAGTTCCAGGGATCTGGAATTGAGGACACAAGACGTTGTGTTCTTCTTGTGACAACGACTGAGTCTCTGCAACAGCATCAATTCTGGTTTCGGAATGGTTGGCTATGTCAGGTTTTTCTGTTCTTCGGAGAGAACTTCTTTTGTGTTTGATCTAGCTCGGGAATGGCGTGGAGATTGTGCGTGGAGGGGATGCCTGGTTACTCGGATCTGTACGTATACTTGAACATCGAGGTGGTCATTGGTCTAGTTCAATGAAGTCCTTTTCTGCGAGGTCAAGTCGTACTCTAAATCCTTTGAGTTGTGATTGTGAGCGGCATATCGATTATAGTTGGTCATTCTCTCTCGAGTGTAGTGAGGTCGTCTTGTCTTTTGATGTTCGTCCTTGGTGTTGTATTCTGATCTATATATTGCATCATGTGATTTTACATTTTATAAAACTTTTATTAATTTAATATTTTTTAATTATGATTTTAGTTAGTTGTTTTCACAAAAGCTTTTTGTTTTAGTTCGGTTATTTTGAAGAGTTACTCACCCTTGAGTAGCTCTTATTAAAAATAAAGGTGTGGTCACAAAGCGTGGATGTAGCACGGTGGGTTAGGCCGGCTATAGAGCATGCTCAGGACGTCCTTTCCTGGTGGGTTAGGCCAGGTGTGGGAGTATGATTTCATGCGGTTTTTATGAGGGGTCCTGTTATGTGACAACATTTTATGTTGGGTTTGTTGTGGTTTTACTTATGTTTTGTTGGTTATGTACTTTTTCCAAAAAGCAAATTGTTTGTGGTATGGGTTTGTCTTTTGACTTTTTTGTGTTTTATTATTTCTTTCTAAGACTTTGTAATAGTCTTCAAAAGAATAAATTATCCAGTTTTAAACTGGGTTAATCCGGTTTGGGTACCGTTGGTTTCCTTTTCTTAGTCATGCTGTTATTTTATGATTTGTGGTATTTAGTAAGCTGCGTTGGTTAGTTTTGTTTAGTATATGATTCCTTTCCAACCGGGTTAAAGGAAAGTTTGAAACTTGTTATTATTTGTTAGAGTTGTTGAGTGTGAAAACTTGAAACTGAA